GGGGACTGAGAAGAGATGGGTAATTAGACCTCAACCTAACACCCTTCCTCCAGACACAAAAGAGAGCTTCCTGTGTTGTCAGGAAATACAGGTAGCCTTTTACCTGGAAGACCAACTTCCCCATTTCTGCCTGGGGCGCCGGGCGGTCCTGGAGGTCCTTTTTCAGGAACAGATTGGGCAGGTTCGCCTTTGGGCCCTGAAAGTACCAGAAAAACAACAACAGGAAAGTTACTTCTATTTCACAACAAAAACCAAACCAAAGGGGGCCATCCTCCCATATTTCTGTTCTAAATTGGTCGTCCAACGTTTTGTGTTTGTATGATGGATTTGCATTCCCTCTAATGATGTAACCATCCAGGAACACTGCTAATGAAAATGCCCCATAAGAGGAAATTCCTCTGGAGATCTTCCTCTGGGACTGAATGGAGGGGTAGAAAATTGATGGTACAGTAAAAAACAAGCCATTCACACATAAACCTTGGCCACCTTGTCACTAAAAAAGTGCAAAACCATCATTTTCTATATATGAACATTTTTCTAATGATGAGTTAAACACAGAGTTGGCCCTACTGTTAGGAGGGAATGTGGGGCTCCAAAATCCTTTTTTCTGTTGAAATACAATTCACAAGCAAATGATTGTTCATCAAATTGAGCAGGGAGTTTGTAATAGGTAACCATGAGGAAGATACCTACCTGGAGCTCCTGGGGAACCTGGACGTCCAGGAACACCTTGAAGCCCCTTCTCTCCTGAAGGTCCTTGTGGTCCAAATCCAGGAGGCCCTGGAGGTCCTCGCTCTCCAGCAAGTCCAGGAAGACCTGGATCCCCAGGAAGCCCCCGATCTCCTTTGAAAGCAATGCTACCCTAGGGCAATTAAAAAAGGAAGACTGCCTAGATTAATCCATCATAAAAAGCCATAGGCTGGTTTCACCAAAAGTGACCTGGTCCATTCTAGGTTCATATACCTTAGTGACCCAAAGCAACCAACCAGCTGATAATGTCATTTACTAGGCAATGTGTGAACCCAGGTGATGAAAGCCAGTATGGCTGCTGACCCACTGAAATCAAAATGTCTTGGCTTTGAAACATTATGTTTCAAGGTCAAAGCAGGCACTCTGAATTTGAAACAGGTTGCCTTCACCATTCAGGAAAAGTTTCCAGCTTGAAATGGCCTTATTCTCATTCTTGAAACACGTATTTAGTCAGAGCTGTCTCAGGGATGAATCACTTCCAGAATGGTTTTGGAATAACCTGGTTTGAACATGAAATGGGATGTTTCATGCTCAGAATACTTTGCACCCTACAGGAGATCTGTTAAAACTTGCTTAAAGGCATTTCATTCCAAAAGATCATGAAACATGACCAAAACTCTTCTGAGCAAGTTGATTGACAATGCAACAATGACCAGGATCATGTAGTCCAATTCTGTAATATAATCAACTGCTGTCTAAGATTTCAGCCAGGAGCTTTGCCAGATCTACTTTGAGGTCCCAAAGATCGAACCGAGGACCTTTGGAATGGGAAGCAGCCAATCCATTCACTGAACCAGCCATAAATCAGCAGAATCCATAAGCAGAGGAAGATTCAAACTAACCAACTCATCGTTCCTCCATCTGGCAAGGGCACATTGTAACAGGACTATCTCACAGCTGCCAAAACAGTTTCATTCTGATTTGTGGGCAGAACAAGACAATCTAAAGAGTTGCAGGGCCGGCCCAAGTATTGGTTAGCGTGAGAAGCTATCTCAGGCTATGTCATTTTGGTGGGGTGCATGGATAGATGGTGATTTTCCACACCCTAAAGTAATCTGAAGAGCCAGTTTGGTGTCATGGTTAAGGCATTAGGCTAGACATCAGAAGACCGTGAGATCTAGTCCTGCCTTAGGCACAAACCCAGCTGGGTAACCTTGGGCCAGTCATTCTCCTTCATCTCCAGGAAGAAGAAGGCAAGAGCAAACCACTTCTGAAAATCTTGCCAAGAAAACTGCAGGGACTTGTTCATGTAGCCACCAGGAGTCTAGACTGACTCAAAGAAAAAAAAATAACTTGACTTGATATTTTAGAATTTCTATAGCCTCCACGACATTTTAAAACCCCCGTTTATTTATCCGTATTATATTCTTTTACTCTTTTTTCATGTTTCCTCTTGTATTTGTCGATATATTTTTCGTTCAAGTGTTCGATAAAGGGAAAACAAGAAGAAGAAACAACTTCACTGTTCCCATTTCGCCTCTGCAAGTCGAATCTGTCAACCATTTACAGGCGAATAAACAAAATCTAGCCTCCACTTCAGCATTTGGACTTCTCTTTCTAATTCTACTCCTTAATCTGATGCTAGCGTTTCACAGAAATAAGTCATTAATTATTCGTTAGGACCTCTCAAGACCATTTGCAACGTGGAGAGCTTGGTCAGGTTTCTGTCCCAATGTGGTGGACACAGTCAGCGTCTGGCACCTACTTCTGAAAAAGAAGATTGCTCTCCACCATAAACTTTTATAGGTATGTGCCGTTTTTTTTCTTACAGATGACCTTATTCCCAAACAAAAAGAGGGTTGTAAAAATTGATGGATTTTATTTTATTTATGAAGACTGTATACCGCTCGACTCCCAATGACTCTGGGCAGTCTGACATTTTTTGTTTTTCAGGAGCGCTAGAGAACCCTTGCATAGGCCAAAGGTATTTTTGAAATATTGACAACACAGAGGAGTGCCTTCTTGCTTTAGGACACACCAACTTTCCATTTAATTTCTTCTTCTTTTTTAATTAAAAGAGTCTAAAAAGAAAGAAACAAGTGGGGCGGGGAGTTTGGAAGGCATTCTGGGAAGCGTCCACACATAACGTAGCACCAAGTTTCAATTCAGTTCCTAAAAAACATCCTCCACCAGCACCCAATTATTCCCAGGAAGTTAGCCTTGGAAATTCCTGATTGAGGCTTATCATCATAGATTTACAAATATTACGCCATTTTCACCGACTTACTGGCTCCCCCTTGGGTCCAGGAAGACCCGGGAATCCGTCTTTCCCAGGAGAACCATCTAACCCTGGCAGCCCTGGTTGACCTGGGAAACCTGGACTTCCTTTTTCACCTTTCATTCCAGGGAAACCAAGCATATCACCTGGATCACCTTTTGCACCAGGACGTCCGGGAGAGCCTGAAGGTCCAGGAAGACCCTAGAGACAAAACAAGAACTATTTCAGTCCTTAGGATTGCAGGCATTCTGTCCTTCGCTCTCCCTCCAACCCCAGGCTCCTGCAAAGAACAGCCCCGATGCTTACTTGAGGCCCAGTAAGTCCAATTATGCCAGAAACGCCTTTGTCACCTTTTGGCCCAACAAGACCGGGAGGCCCTGGATCCAAATGGAAAGAAGATATTAATTGCACCACAGAGAAGACATTATCCCCACGGTTTAGTCAGCACCAGCCCATAGGGCAAGGAGGGGCAACCTAAGTCCACAGCTGGCCACACCTGGTTTTTGCAGCCTGCTCTCCAAAAGCATTGCCAAAACTCAGCAGCAGACTGCTCCAAAATCACTTGTAACTATTTACCTAACGCCGTGTTTTTTCAAACTTGGGAACTTTAAGATCTGTGATTTAACTCCCAGAATTGCCCAGCCAGCATGAATTAAAGTCCACACATCTTAAAGTTCCCAAGTTTGAAAAATGCTGGCTTAACACATCCCAAAAGGTTCTTACAAGATCCCCCCTGAGAACACGTGCATGCCTAACATGTGGATCCCATTGATAGCTACTTGGCATTCCTTTTTCCTCCAATCCAGCATTCCAATTTAATGCAAACAGAGGAAGCTGAACTGAGGGCCAGCCCAAGGGAAAAGCTGAGCTGTATTCTCCCACAATGCTTTCCTCTTCAGAATACCAAACTGATAGTCCAAGCCTTTCCCAACATGGACATCTTCCTCCAGTGATATGGAGCCAGCCCCACACTCCCAACCAGCATGGCCACCGCTGAAAATTCTGGGAGTTGAAACTGCACCTCTGGAAAGGACTCACCTTTGGGGAAGGCTAGACTAATGTTTGTTTTTCCCATACTTTTACCCTCCATTAACACATTTCATGGAGTGATTGCAATTTCTGCAGTGAGCAAAGAAGGCTACAAATGAGGAAACGGTGCTCATGTGCAATAATGCAACGCTTCATGGTTGTGGAACCGAACAGTCTTAATGGGCACTAAAAAGAAGCAGAAAGAGATACAAACAACTAACGCGTACCGGGATTGCCAGGGAGCCCAGGGAAGCCTTTTTCTCCTGGAGGGCCCGGAATGCCACTTCCGATGCAGTTAAAACACGTCTCTCCTTTGTCGCCTTGAATCACAAGACACACAGCACAATGAGTTGCGCGCAAGAAATGCAGTTATACAAACATGCCAGTGAAAATAATTCAGACGGCAGCTTCCTGCAAAATTTGACGCTCTTGCTTAAAAGCCTGGGGAATCATATTTCTGCTTAGTAAAGGGAAGAGCTATTTGCAAACATCTGGAAGGCACCAAGCTGGGGAAAGCTCTTCTACATCCATGGAGCACAATCCCAACAGTGTGATGAAACTTAAAAGTTAGGAAGGCTGAATCAGTCTAACTTCTGCCCCACTGCCATATCCATCTACGGAAACTTGCTCAAAAGTTCTCATTGAAGAGCCCATCTAATTTCAAAGGAGCATGCATATGTAAAAAACGTATTCCCTCCAATTTGCACACATCAATACATACTCAAATATATATTTGACAAATTCCTTTCTCAAAATACAGGCCTTTCAGTGCACGCTCTTTCAAAATACATGTTTCTAAAGGCACTTGAATGCTTTTCAAGTACGAAGCTGTGTCAGCCTGTCCCAAGTCAAAAAAATAACTACTGCCCAATTGGCATGTTAGTCCCAGATGCAACTTCAGAAAGCCCTTTATCACGTTTATAAATCAGGAGTCTGGTTGCACCTTTTCCAACTAACGCATTTTATTAAAAGGCATGAAAGGTGCTACTCCAGATTTCTTGCCACCATAGACTAACATGGCTCTCCTTTTATTGTGTCTAGATCAGTGTTTCTCAGCCTTGCTAACTTTAAGATGGATGGACTTCAACTTGCCAAGCTTGAGGAACACTGCTGTAGTTATATTAATTTACAATTATTTGTAACTAGTGGTTTACAGCATAATCAGAGACCTCTCTACTTTCATGACCTCAAGGATACACTTATTTTTTGTCAAACAACAATACCCTCCTCCTCAATTTTGCTTGTGAGCTTGTGAGCATTACAGATTGAAGGTTTGTTTAATAGCAGCTCATTCAGTAGCAAACAATAGCAGCAATAACAAACTCGACTCCAAACCAATTCTACGGATCTCAGCCTAATCAAAGAATGAACAATATTGTAGCTTTATACCTTTCTGGCCTCTTTCCCCTGAAAATCCTTGCTCTCCTGGAGGCCCTTGAGAGCCAGGAGGTCCTCGTTCACAAAGCCAATCAACTGAAAGAAAGAAACAAATGCAGGTCAAGACACGAGTCAACTTTACAGAAAATGAATGCCGGGAGAGTTGGGAGAAACTCCTCAATCTTAAGAAGAGCTTCAAGACTTGTATCCTTTGTATCCACTTTGAACACAGGGACAAAGACTTTATTTATTTATTTCTTAAATTTGTATGATGCCCAACTCCAGGCAACTCCCAAGCAAAAATATTTTTTAAAAAACCAGTAAGAAACAAAAATAAAGAATAAAAGGAAACTGTTGGAGCTTTCCTACTGGGCTTGGACTACAACTCTTAAAATTCTCAGGTGCCCAGCCAACAATCAGGATCCTGCATTGCTGAAATTCAGGTCATAACAGTGTCCCTGAATTTTAGCCAATATAGACTGAAATCACTTGTTGACCATTTTCAATACACGCTGGTAATTAACATCTTCCTCAGATGCACAGCCAATATACTGGAGTTTTAGGGTCACAGTGAGGGAGATCCTGGATCACTCCTGGATTCAAATCAGGTCATAACAGAGTCCCTGAATTTTAGCTAATATAGTTCAAAATACCTCATTGAGCATTTTCAATAGACCCTGGTAATTATCATCTTTCAACATTTGCCTCTTTTTCTTGCCAGCCCTACCAGGTTGCATTTATGGTTAAAGGAGGTTCAAGAAGGCCACTTCAGCCTTTGGTTCAAGGAGAAGGCTATTTCAGCCTTCTACAGCCTGTTGTCTTTCAGATACTCCCCTCTCACACATCTTGGGAAATGGAGTCCTAACACCTGGAGGACAGCAGGTTGGGGAAACTGAGAGACAAATATAAATCAGCAGTTGATATGTGATCAGAAATGTTACTCACCAGGTGGAACAGTTGATCCTGGTGGCCCTGGTGGCCCTGGTGGTCCAGGGGATCCTGGTCGTCCATCAATTCCTGGCTTCCCTTGTAGAGAGATCCCAGGAAAGCCCTGATCCCCTTTCTGTCCTCTTTCACCAGGTAGCCCAGGGGCACCAGAAGGACCTATGCTTGGAATTCCTACAGGGAGGAGGAGGAGGAGGAGGAGGAGGAGGAGGAGGAGAAAGGGGGGTGTAAATCCTTGAGGAGAACCACAGTGCACAACCTCTTAGCTCATGGCTACTTTTGGACTTGAGACTTTGAGATGAGACTCCAGAAACAGAGCTGGAGTCTACATTAGAAGTAGGTGGTGGATTCATGACAGAAGTAATGTTAGGTTTCAACTTAATAAAATGTACTTAATTTGGATATATCTGGTGCATATAATAAATTATATGTCGTTACATAAATCTCATAATTCGCATAGTATTGTCTCTGAGAATTATGAGAGGGTTAGGGGAACTCCTCTTAGGGTTCATATATTGCCCTAAGACTTAATGGCCTGTTGAATTTTAATTTAATGTCAGAGGTGTCCATAGGGTTTGGCCCAGTTGACAAAGTGACAAAACAAGTGTAATGCTGTTGCAATACAAGCTCAGCTCCTTTTGTACATGTAAGCAACATCACATGCAAAAGGTGAGGAGCTCGCATTGCCAAAGCATGATGCTAATTCTGTCAACTGGCTAATCCCTGATCATAAAGTAGCTGTAGAAAGGAGAGGCAAAAGAGAATGCCACATCATGTATCACAAGAAAGGCATGCTTTTCCAACCCAGATCCTGATGCTGGTCCTACAGGCTGTCCTCCTGGGCTGAGGGTCTGTACTAGATTTCATCACAGTGTCTACTCCTAGCTATGTGACCACAACCCACATGCAGGGCATATTAATTATCTTGTAGGATACCAACTCAGGGCTCATGAAGATATATATAATACCAATAGAAGAGAATATATGTAGCTCAGGGTTGAATTGTGGAGTCCTTGGGGTTCTCT